TTTTTGCTCCCTCCCAGCTCCCTGCCAGACAGTCCACATTTTTGCTCCCTCCCAGCTCCCTGCCAGACAGTCCACATTTTTGCTCCCTTCCTCCTCCCTGCCAGACAGTCCACATTTTTTCTCCCTCCCAGCTCCCTGCCAGACAGTCCACGTTTTTGCTTCCTCCCAGCCAGACAGTCCACTTTTTTTCTCCCTCCCAGCTCCCGGCCAGACAGTCCACATTTTTACAGGAAGCTGGGAGGGAGCAAAAACGTGGAAAATCTGCGGCTCCCTGAGGACTGGACTGAGAAACACTGCACTTGTTCATGGACATGGGCGTCACCAACCTCAATGCCAGCCAGGCTCCCGGAAAAAGGCCGGTCCAGCAGACGAGGCTTGTAGGTCAGCACAGTGGTGCCCTTCAGGATGATGGCGTTGGTGTCCTGGCAGGAACATTCCTCCACCACCACAAACTCCGTTCCTGTGGCACAGCAGGAGCGTCCAACACAAACATGGGTATCTGGTTTTACTTAGCCAGGCTCAGGCTGAATTTAATAACAATCATAATAATAATAATAATCGATACTTTATTGATCTGAATTTTCTTTATGCCTCCCCCAACTTCTCTTCTTTGCTCTTCTTTGAAGAGTAAGCTGGCAGTGAAGGGCAGCCACCCGTAGTGGCACCCAGGGAGCTGGGGGTTAAGGGCCTTGCTCAAGGACCCGCAGACGTGCTGAGGCTGGGTTTGAACCGGTGACCTTCTGATTACAGGCACACAGGATTATGGCACTGAGCCACACGCTGCCCCATGAATTTAACTGCAGGTAGAACTAATATACCCAATAGGTAACGATAACTCATTAAGTCAAAAACAAAGAAGAAACTGTAATACTATGGACATTTGTGCATATCTTGCAGGGGATTCTGGGTAATCTGCTCAAAGAGGTAGACTCCTGTAAGCATTCTCTCTTGCTGCCTCACCCGTCACATTGACCTTGATCTCCAGGTGACGTTCCTGAGTAACCGGCACAGTGGACCTCTTGGTGACCACGCCACTCTTGACTGTCTTGGGCATCACGGCGGTGGGGGGGGCTCCCGCATCGCTGCCGCCACTGGGGCAGCGTTGTCTCCCATGGGCAGCGCCACTTTCGGCTGGCACACGCAGGAAGTCGCGCACCAGCTGAAGCCAGTCGAAGATGAGGAAGACGCGCAAGTTGTTCAGCACCACGGTGAAGCAGGACGCGTCCCGGGTGGACCTGAGCCAAGATGGCGGGGGGGGTACAATGTCCACACCATCAGAAATATGGCACAGCCCTGCTACAGTTTTATTCACCAAGGTACAAACAATAATGCGCTCATTTCTGTACCTTAAAAGGTACATTTACTTAGTTAGGGTACAGTGGCAGACCCTTGAGGGAACAGTCAACAGTGTCAAGTAACTGTACCATCAAAGGTACAAATTGACCCTTCTATTACGACAGCGTTCCATCAACTGGGTACGAACAGCACTTTTTTTTTTTTTTTTTAGGAAATTTATTTCCTAATTGGACCAGTTTAAATGACTATGACACTAACAAAGGAGATTAAAGGCACAGTAGGGCAGGACTGGGCATAGGACAGGACAGGAATGGACCAGGACAAGGACCAGGACAAGGACCAGGACAAGGACCAGGACAAGGACCAGGACAAGGACCAGGACAAGGACCAGGACAAGGACCAGGACAGCCAACGAACCTGTAGTGCAGCTCCATCTGCAGGGAGGCTCGGTTGGCCCCGGTCCTGGAGGGCTGCAGGATACAGTGGAACACGTTGCGCTTTCCCCCAGAGGCTTTGGTGCCCGGGGCGGAGTCAGGCCCCCCATAACGCGTGTCATACGCCAGCAGCGAGTGGGACACCAGGTTCACAGACTTGGACCCATTGGAGAAGCTCTCAAACAGCAGCTTGGACTTGCGGAAGTCGAACCTGCAGTGGCGGCACACCGGTCAAAGAACCGAACCCGCGAGCCTGTGGGGAAGCCGTTGGATAGGTCTGGATGGACTGCTAAGCGTAACCACGGCCAGGCAGCCACACCGCTGATGCGCTGCTCTTCAGTTCAGGATGGCTAACAAGGACGGAGAACGAAGAGCATTTAATTTGGATTCCCAGAGACTGAACTGCCTACCTGGCCAATGAGCGCGTCCAACCCGCAGCAGCCGGAGCGTCGAGCAGCTCCAGGCTGACGTCCATCATGTTAACGAGGAAGGACAGGCTGGTGTACACATCCCCACTCAGCACCGTCTGCAAGGGCGCCGGGTGAGGAAGCCAGGGAACACGGGGGGGGGGTGTTTGCATTTACAATGTTTCATTTTGCCAAATTAGGTCGAGTTTGAAATACAAAGCAGATCACAAGGCTAGGAAAAGCATTACTGCTAATGGATCTTTCTGTGTGTCTATGTATGTGTTTATGTATATATTACATCAAGGGGTCCAAATGTCCCCACAAGGGGAAACTCTCAATCTGTGACTGCAATCAAAAAATAAAAGTTGCCAAAAGCCTACTATTTTGTTTGGTTACTTGTGGTTAAGGTTAGGGCTGGGTAGGGATTAAGGTCGTCATGTTGGGAGTTTTCCCCCAGAGAAATGAACAGTCAGTCCCCAAAAAAGTTTTTAAGAACATTTTAAATATTTAAAAAACAGTGAGCATAATCCACTCACATAATATTACTTTCGCACAATGACAACAATGTCTAATAACCTTTCTGCCGGCCTCTTGCCTCTTTAATATTAACATCCCGGACTGCACATTTGTGCTTGTGCTAAAAACCCAAAAACGCCGTTCGCCATACATAGGTGCTGGGGTCCTGCAGGTTGTAGGGTCTGAGGAATTCCTCCACTGGTTCCCCCAGATTGTTCTCCAGGAGCCCCCGGATCAGCCGGTACCGGTCCAGGTCCAGGGAGCAGTGCACGGAGGACAGGCTGCCATGGATGGACATGTCTGGCACAGAATGGCTCAGCTCCCTGCAGCAGGAACAGAGGTTCAGGCAAACCCTTTATCAAGTAAGGAATGAATCGACTTCTTCGCATAACTGCAATGTTTCCTTAGAAATGGCACAGAGCATGAGCGACTCCCAGAAAGGGATTAAGCAGCGTCCACCTTCAGGTCATGCAACAAAAGGCTTAGTCAGTTATTCGAAACAGCCAGCTGTACAAACAGGATAACGCTTATGCTAAGCCAGCAAGCTTGGCAGTGCAGGCACGGAAATGGGCCCCCAGCTCACAGCACAGGCATGGAAACAAGGGCCCCCAGCTCACAGCACAGGCATGGAAACAAGGGCCCCCAGCTCCCAGCACAGGCACAAAGACGGGCCCCCAGCTCACTTGTCCAGGTTCCTCTCCACCTTCAGGCTGAGCCGGCAGCGCTCCTTCAGCAGGCTGCCCCCCGTGCGGCGCACCGAGTATGAGGGGAAGAGCAGGTCGCCTTCCAGTGGCTTCCTGGTGCCGTCCCAGGACTCGCAGGGCAGCCGCTCCGCCGCAAAGATGTCCATCTCCTGCAGGTCCAGGGCGATGCAGTCCAGCAGGCACACGTGGTCCTCTGATGGCGGCAGAGGTCAGAGGGTCACAAGGACGGCTGGATCCAAAGTCATTTTTAGATCAATTTGCACTTGTCCTGTGTTTTTTGTAAGAAGTCAGAGCACAAGTTCCTAACGGCACATATTTCACTATGGTAACAAGTAATTTTATCGTTTATATAATTCGCTTTTCAGATGCTTTATGACATTAATTAACGGGCAGTGATGATTGCCCATTAGTCAAGCTTTGTAAGCTGAATAATTAATTTGCCAATTAACGATGCCCTGAACACCCAGGGTAGAATCTTATTAATGGTGTATTTTATGATCACAAGGAGCCTGGGGGCTTGATGAAAATGGGTCATTTAAAGGGAGCATCTTCTAACCTTCCCAGCATAGAGTAATGCTGAGCTGGGCTTTTCCACAGCAGAGCCTACACAAATAACACTTAACACAAAGGGGGGGGGGGCTCTGGGTTTTCCAGCCAGTTAGGCACTGACAGCTCACCAGGACTAACAATATCCACAGCAGGCATCTTCCCCAGGGCAGGCTGGGGCCGGCCCAGGGAAAAGCCAGTGCCAGTGCCGCTGGAGGCCGGCTCCGGAGACTCCTCCCTGGGCACAGTGCTGGGTGCTGGGGGAACATTTCTCACACGGTCCTGTAGAATGCAACTCATGTTAGCAGAGTCCAAAACAACAGGAACAAGAACACAGTCAATCTGCACAATAAGAGCTGCAATTATAACAGGCATTAGCCAATTAAAATTAAGTGCATAATAACAGTAACAAAAAAGCACAGGGCAGCAAAACTGGTGTTTCCCCTGCACTGTTAGCAGAACGCAGGCCATTCTGCTTTCAGCGAGCCGCCTCTCAGCGTACGAGGGGAAACACGCGACTTGCTGACTGCAAGCAGACACAGCAGTCAGAGAAAGCCAGCACTGCCCTTGAAACGGCCGTGACTCGCCACAGAGACGCTATAAACTCACAAATAAATGAACAAACTCTGATAACTGGAAACATCCCTTGCAGGTTGACTGATGAAAGTGAACCAAAATTTCTGACAGACACATTCATGCACTTGTGAGAGTCGAAACGAGACAAAGGAGAGTGAGGCTTCCTGTGTGACAGGGGACCTCACAGGGGGCAGGATCCTTGAAGGAGCTGGCATGCAAAACCAGATTCTCGTGGAAACAAAGCGAACACATGATGCATGAATGACAGCAGGGAGACATTGCTAAAGGCACTGCACTGCAAATTTAAAATGACAACAACACTGATCCATTAATGGCAGGTGGTTTATCCACACATGACAAAAATGACAAGTTTGGCACTACTAAATATTCTACAATGCTCAATTTCCAAAGAAAGACAAAGGTACAAGCCAAGGAAAAACAAAAATAACAATGACGAACAGAATTTTTACATGAGATGCTTACTAACATTTGTCAAAACAATTAAAGGTTTTCCACCAAAAATTACAAGCCTGAAGGTTGCTTTAGGTAAAAAGCGCAGGCTTGTAACATCAGGGTTAAATAAATAAGTCGATAACTATAAAGGTTAAGGAGGAAACCCCAAACCAGGCTCGATAGCGAGAGACACTGCAGAAATCTAGCTCAGGCATAACTAAACGCTTGAAGAAAGCAGGCAGGTAGCAGGTCAGGCAGAGTGTGGGCCAGAGACTCACCAGAGAGGGGAAAAAGGCATGAGCCATGGTAAGTTTCTCTACCTTGTCTTTGTGGGAAAATGTACCACATGAGCCGGCAGGTAGGAAGCGGTTACGGACTCGCAGCTGGCCGAGGTTGGCCACGATGAGCCGGGGCGAGCGGGAGCTCTCTGGAATCAGGAGCACCGGGGCACCGGCTTCGATGTCCAGGAGGATGCGGGCCGCGCGCTGAGGATGTTCCCGCACCTGCCGGACAGAGCCGACAGAGCGCTGACAAACTGCCGGATCTCCACAAGGTCCGAGTGCATACACCTATAACCTTTATTACACACCGTGCTGATTAGCGTGACTATTTATGCCACAAACAATATTATACTGCAAACATGTACATGACACTACAAAAGAATCAGCAACATTTTTGTTTTTGGCCTAACTGACTACTAATTTAATCATCAGTCATGGTTTTAGGACTTCTGAAAGACCCTTAGTGCTGTTTAGGTGCTTGGAGAAAGGCTTAAAGTTACGCTACGAAGATTAAAAAAGTAATTCTTGGAGTTACAAATTCAAGTTAGGTTAAACCACATTCGAAACAAAAACAAGGGGTGTTTTTCAATACCAAGAATGCAAAGATCATACTTGTGGTCTTGGCAAGACCGGTCTTGCTAACTTGCCTCCCAAGAATGAACTTGGGAAGCAATGAGTCATGGGATTAGCCTCATTCTGCGAGGATGCAACAGATGTATCCTTGATATTTGGGGCAGGGCAAGAACGACATTCGGGGATTTTTACTGTCCTTTGTACTTCTGTTCTGAAGTATTGGAACTTAAGTATTGGAAGGTGACATACAGCCTGGCCCTCCATCGCGGCCCGCTGCCTGCCCAGGACGTCCTGCAGCTGGGTAAAGTGCTGGATGAAGGCTACCACCTCTGCCTGGAAGCGCTGCGTATGCACGTACTGCACCGAGGCCATCTGCAGAGACACCTTCATGTCGCACTGACGCTTCAGGAAGGGGTCTGGCTCACCATACCTGCATGGGACACAGAGGGCAGCCTCAGAGACCTCAGAGCCAAAACGCCACGTCTTACAAACACAAAACTCAAAGATTACACAACAAAAAGCACTGAATGGGTTAGGGTTACTGATATTCACATATAAGTGAATATCAGTAAGCATGAGTAGTAAATGAATACTTGTGGATGTTGAAAACGAGTGCCTCGCCGCCCCGTGTGGTGAAGCGCTCCCTGTACAGGTCTCCGTGTGGTGTCAGGTCACTGAGAGATAAACTTCCCAGACTGCCTTGCAGGGTCAAGTCTCCCTCTGAGAGACAGGAAGTGTTTCAGGAAGACACTGGGAAGTGCATTGTGCAGGTCACTGGCATTTTGTGACAAGAATACAAGGATTAACTGGATATTAATTTGACTTTAATACCCAGGTTCTAAACTTACCAATCATCTCTAAATGGGCAGACAGTTTGGAGACACTAGCTTTGGCGAGTTCATTGGTTTTCTTGTTGAGAACGAGGGATAGAGAATGGACCTTGGAAGAACATTAAGAAAATTAATGAAAGGCAATCAATCTGGGAAGGAATCAATACATGTACTTGGACGAACAACCAAAAGTTCAAATTAATGCAAGTTGTTAATCTTATCCTTTGTATTCAAAGTCCTCTTGTGGAATTACCTTCAGGTCAAGCCTGGTGTTGACCCTCTCCGGTTCTTCCTCCTCATAGGCTAATCCTGTTTCTTCTGTACAGGTGTAAAGTGGCTGGTGACTATGCGTCTCCTGGGTTGGGTCCAGAGGAACTTTCAGAGCATGGTTGTTTGCTGTGGAGCCGATGCCAAAGAAGTCGAGAATGACCACCCAAGTCTGAAGAGTGATGAGAACGTCCAGGCAGTTGAAGTCCACATCCACACTGCGGCTGACACTGCCATAGCGGCTCTTGAACTCGGGATGACGTTTGTCCACCAGAAGGATGTTCATGCGGACCAGGGAATCGTCAAAATCTGGGGCCGGGAGAGATGCCGGGATGTTGCGGGTTGGGGAAGGAGGAGGGGTACTTGGGCAAGCTGGGTCTTCAGTTTTCCGAGCACCAGAAGATGGTGTGTTGGGGTGTCTCTGGTAGAACTGGAAGACATTCTGCGCCTCCTCCATCTGGGCTGGGAGGGAACGGGGCATATCAGGGTAAAGGACACTGGATGCCGTTGGGCAGGACTGTGAGAGGTACTCTTTGCGGCTGAAGGTGGAGGGCTTTGGGGCACCCCTGGAAACCATGAGGTGCTTGTACTTTGAGTCTGGATTGGGCTCCAGGAGATCCTCCATTAGCAGAGAACGAAGGGTGAGCTCAACTGCCAAAGACTGAGGATGGTCCTTTGTGAATTCCCCCTCCAGATCCTGGAAACACAAGCTGACAAGGCCCTGAGAGCCCTGGCTGAGGTCAGCACTGAGATGCACCTGCAACTCTGCCACTCGAAAGTTGGCCCTTAACTGGGTAAAAGATGGGGGCTGGAGGGAAGGGCTGTGGCCCAGCAGGGGAATGGGCGTAGAGAGGGAGGAGGACAGGGAAGCATAGGACAGTCCAGCAAAGGGAGGGTCGTGTGCAAAAAGCCCGCCCTGCGAATCTGGGAAGCGAGGGAGCTTGGCGTAGGATGGAGTGGGGGGCGGCGGAGTTGGGGGCTGACTCGGTGTTGCTCGATCGTCTTCAATAAAGGACAGATTGTCCAGGGTCTGTAAGACCTGCTCATATACAGGCTTGGCGAGAAACACCTAGAATAAACCAAGAAAAAATGGTTTACATTAACAGAGCATCTCTGATTACAGCTACGGTGCTAAAAAACCATAGGAAAGAAAATATCCCAATAACAGGTATCGGGTAACATTTATAAAAGGTGTCACCATCTACAGGCTATACACTAACTACAGTTGATTGGAACAAATGACATGTGCAGAGCATTAAACACAAGAGACATTAAACTTAAATTAAAATAAGAAGCTGGAGCAATTTACCTGTACAGCATTGACAAATCTGCCCTCTACTCTGAGCTGTCCTGCGCTGAGGAACGGCTCATCGTTAGAGACGAAGGAGAACTGCAAGTCATCTGAGACAGGAACTTTCTCAAGGGTGAACTGGATCGTGGTGTCTTTGAGGATGTGAAAAGCTTAAAACACAGGGAAACAAGACAGCTGATTAACTGGTGTTCAGTCAGAAGCTAAGAGGCTTTTAAATCATCCAAGAATCATATTACATGAGATACTATATGCTGGTTTGAAACTGCCACAAACAGAAGATTTTATTGAGGGGGACATACAATAAATTACATACAACAGTCTATTTATTAAGAGGGACTGAATGAAGCAAGATTAAATGTTGGGGTTTCCTACACCCCTGATCACAAAAACCTCTAAAAGGATTTTTAGAAAAATCAATCAATCAAACAAGCAACTAATCCATGCATCCAGCCATGCAGTCCTTTGTGGGATTGTGGGGGTCCGGAAAGTACTTCTTTAAAATAGCACTGAAAAACAGGCAACTGCATATCTTTCCTAACTGGATCAAGGTATAACAAAAGCATCTCACCTCTCCCACGGTTCAGGGACTCGAAAAAGTCATGACGTGTGAACTGAAGCTCCTCCTGACTGCTGCCCTTATTCTGACTGGGTGAGAAATTGGAGGTGGAGCTACTGTCAGCACGAGTGGCCTTGCGGAGGACCAAGTGACTGGTGTTGAGTGAGTACAGACAAATGTCTTTAACCTCAACCTGCAACTTTTCCCTCTCTGAGCTATCCTGCTCAGACATACAATTCTGAATGGTTATACTACCTAAATGTCCCACTAGTAGCTCTGGGTGGCCTGGCTTTCGTGGGATGGAAACAACAGGGGAGTCTATGCTAATGTTTAAATTGAGTTTGACCATAAAAGAATCTACTTTTGGTTCCTCCACTGGAACCTGAACATCAGCCTCATCTTCGAAAATGCTGGTACAATTGCACTGACTCTGCCTTCTGGACCTCCTGGATGGGGTTTCAAAAATCGATACCATGCCACTATACTCTGCCGTCTTTGTCGCAAGCACTGTGGACACTTTGGTGGCTGCCGATTTCAACATGGAGCGAAAGTTGTCCTCCACCTCATTAGCAGAGAGACTGAGCTCCTTCAGAAACTTAGCGGAATGGTTGTAGTGCAAAGAAGCCATCTGCAACTGTAGGGAGCACTCCCCTTGTGATTTCTCCAAAAGATGGAAATTCAGAGCTTCCGACGGTGCTCCAGCAGCACCAGAGAAGAGGGCCATCTCCCCTGGTGGGGGAAGATCTTCCACATTTCCAATGCTGACCACAAACTGACTTTTCCCTCCTTCCTGAGTTAGGTCCACCAGCTGAATGCATCCAAGAGAACCATTGACATCAAGACTCCCCCCCATGGAAACATTGACTTTGGTACTGTTTATGCTGGCTGTGGCAATTTTCATGCCTTTCTTCTCTCCACCCAGTACAGTGCCAGTGGAAATAGTGCGCAAGAGTAACAGGTTCAATCGGTGTATCTCCACAGTTACCTCTGTGTTCTGATCATAAGTAGACTGATAGGTTTCATTCAAACCTTCATCAGGCTTGTGATAAGACTGTTGGGGTGAGGGAGTCAAGGAGATTTCTTCTTTAGGGAAAGAATTTTGGAGGAACTTTAGAAGTTCCACCATTGTTTCTGGGTTTAGGATGATGTCAAGATTGTTGACTTGCATGGTGGCCACTTGGAGGGAGCTGTCCAGGTTCATAGATGGACAGTCAGAGCTGACAAACTGGTACTCTAGCTTAATGAGGGCATCCTGGTCTTTGAGAAATGAACTAAAATGGGACATTTTGTCAAAATCTGGCAAGGATTCTCCATGAATATCTGATAACTCATTAAGTTTACCATCAGGTGAAATTGGGGAGGAAGGCTGGCTCTCCCTAAGGCTGCCTGTAGGAACATCAAAGCTGAGATGCTTGTGGGAGGCCACCAAAAGGTCAAAGTCTGAACCGTAAGTCTGTAGGGTATCGACCAGGAGGAGCCCATGGACGGTGAGGGAAACTTCGGCATCATAAGGTCGTTTCACAAAGTGGGCATTTGTGCCAAAAACTTTAAGTACAGAAATATATCGGCCACCACTCTCAATCCCCAGCTGCATGTAGTTAATGTTGAACTCTGCAAGAAGCAGCCTTGATTCCACCAGGACCTCTCTTGTGTGTTGCTCCAGTGTCATCACACTCTGAGTGAGATTTTTTGAAGACCCCTGAGATTTTTGAAGGCCATCCTCTCTCTGGAATATTTTTTCATGACGCAGTGTTACAGGGTCTGGCGATTTTCCATTCTCTGTAATCTTTTGACTAGTGTCCTCCTCTTCTCCTGCGCTACTCAGACTAGCTAAGCAGCTTCGGAGAGCTAACATTTTCTCCATGTTAACATGCACTTTGAGGTCAGGCAGAGTTCCTGATAGAACTGCACCAGGGAGCTGAGGGTCAGAAGTATAGCAGAGCCTCTGCTCCAGCTTCAGTAGGACGTTGAATTTCTCAACAACATGAGTTGGCCCCACCTCACTTTCCTGGAGGTGCTTCCAGTTGTCCTTGTACCGGCCAACCATGATCTGCAAGTCATTGAAGGACAATGAGTACTTTTCGTAGAGCCTTCGATTGAACGGCAGTGTGCCCTCCGACTTCCAGAGGGGAAGCTCTGTGCTCTTCACGGAATCTACAAGATCCATTTCTGGCTCAGGAGAGGGAGACGCAGGGGGCGTGGCCAGAGGAGTCTGGTACTCTTCGTCACTAAGCTCATCTGCTTCCGACTGAGGGGACTTCAGCTTTGTCTTGGGTTCATCTTCAAAGAAAAACACCATATTAATACAACATTTTCATAATAATCACCCATCAGCAATCAATCACGACACAAGCATGACAGTCATCCAACGGTACCTTGAGAATTAGTCAGAAGAATGCGACCTAAATCCACAACCACTAACATGGGGTCTTCAGACTGAAAGTCATCTGGGAAGATCACCTGAGGGGCACAGATATCCAGCTTCATGGTCCAACGCTTGCTGTTCTCCTGCCAAGGGAAATGCAAACTCGTTAAAGGAAACCACAGCAGGAAGTAGGGAAATCAGACATGTAGATGAACAATAATATCATGAAGTTTGTTAAGAGAGGCCTTACAATGAACTCGCCAACTAGCAGCTGGTCAATCGTCTGCCGGATCTCGGCCTTGGTCTGCATCTTCAGCTTATTGTACTGCCTCCTGGCGGCTTCTGCTACCCTCAGTTCCAACTCAGACTGATAACCAAAACCTGAAGCGTACAAGATCAGCTACTACACCAGCCAAACAAAACCTCCATCACCACAACCTGCACTTAAAATACTAAAAAGCTTACCGGAGGTGTGGACCCGGCCCTTGTAGAAGAAGTCAGCCACCTTTTTGATGGCCTGTGGGTTGTAGATGATATTGAGAGGGCTAGTGTTCACTTCCAGGCGCCTCTCAAAACGACTTCTTGCTGGGTTCCGCTCATAGATCATCTCAAAGACTGGTGCTGCTGATGACTGGTCTGGGTCTGATTTAAGGGTAACGGCGAAATAAACCTACTGTTACAATGTCCCTTGACACAAATTCGAAACATGGAAATATGAACCACAAGCTATTTATATTTAAAACAAACAACATACCGGTGTTACAATATCACTAAAATAACTAAGTAAAATTATCTACATTATTATTTTTGTAAACTTGCCTTAAATATCTACAAATTACACAATTCCACTGGTACATATCCAAACAATGTTTGCATGCAACTCAACGTTCCATGAGGAGGGTGAGGAGAATTGGTTTGCTGTGATTAAAAACACTTGCCTGAGCTGGGTGTTTCTGAACCGCTTGCCTGATTAAATGTCTGGTTGATGCCCACAGCAACCTTATCCTTGTACAAGGAAAAGAGTGATACCATAGAACGATGAACAAGTGACGTCATACGTAATCACTTCATGCAAAAAGGGCGCGAATGAATCACAGTGACACTGACCAGTTTTGGAGAGACGAGCACAGGGAAGTTTGTTCCCTGGGTAGTGAGGTCCCTCAGAAAGAGCCCTCCAAGTTTCAAAGACAGCAGAGAAGACTCTGATCGGGGAAGTGACTCCAAACCAATCTTCACTCCTGAAACCAAATTTAAAAAATCAGTTTGAACACTTAGAATGATTCGCTATTTTTCACAAAGATGTTATAACAGGTTTATAAAAAGATAAATACAAAAACAAAGTACCTGAGAACTCTAACTGAATGACCCCTCTCTCAAGAGGTGTGGCACTCCCCCCCGTTTGGGCGACACCCCTGTCATGAGGCACAGAGCCCTTCTCATCCTGGTGGAGCAGAGTGACAGCCCCCGTCTCGAGGAGGAAGTCAAGACGTGCAAAAACGTGGTCCCTCCTGGTGAAGGTGTTTAGAGTTTGGGAGTCTTCCAGTGGGTCAAAGAGGTCATCAGCGTTAGCTGCAGGTGCACATAAATGTTCTGCATCGGTCAGATTGCTCTCGTTTCAGAGGTTTATACACATTCACTAAAAATAAAAACAGCCTGAAGATAAAAAAAAAAAAAACAATAATCCAGGTCATAGGATTACTAAGAAAAGACCACAAAATCAGCCTGCTTCTTGTTCCACTCTACTTGCGTAGAAAGCATCCTGGCAGGGTGCTCTAGTTATAAACCAACACCTAAGGTCCACAGCTCCTCTTTCTGAAGGATTCCAATCAGGACTCTCACCCAGCATGTCCCATGTGCCCTGGTCAGTCAACAGCTTGTCAGCAGCAGCCGCTGCCTGAGCCTCCACGCTGCCCTCCGGGACCGGGTCTGAGTCCCCATACCAGCCCCCCCAGCCCGGGAACCAGGACTGCAGGTACTGCAGCATGCCCGAGCTGCCGCTCTTGGGGATGGAGTCGGCGGGGGAACAGGCGGCCACGTCAGACATGGGCTCTCGAAGGCTCTACAGCACGGGAGAGGCTCCATATCAGACCACAGCCAAACAATGTTCAACATCTCAGATCCTCACTCAGATAAAACACACAGCGGAGTCGCTTATTTAAAATGTCATCTGATTGGCTGATAGATACACAGATCGATGGGCAGCCAGAACAGACGGATAAAATAGGATAAAAAAAAATCCAAAATTACACACAGATCGCTGGTCTCTGTGCTCCAATGTTTACTGAGCATATTTTCAATATCCATAACTGAATAAGATTAGCATGTATGTTAATCATTGGCAGATTCGTTACAGGCTTCCAAGCCCAGGCATGGAACGGCACAGCCTAAAAGACTCCATTATGAGACAAAGCACATAAAACATCAATACGGCACAGAGACTTTACACTGCAGGACTAAGTATGAAAAGCTCATTGCAGCCGCTTGCCTCTGCGATCTCCTCCTGCTTTCGAAAGCGGTGATGGACGACCTCCCTGAGACACTGAAGCTCCTCCAGACTCTGTTCAGTCTCCACCCTCTCCAGGTCACTCTGTTGGAAGAGATGGCAGAAACTCTTCACTGTCTGCTTTTCCCTGCATTAAAGACTATCTGCAACACGACAAACTTCAGCGGTCTAGTCCGCAGCTTATTCCAGCCATGTTCACCCTGAAGGCCCTAATGTCTGGAACAAGAATTCTGAGCCTTTGTATGCCAAAAGAAATGGAAATTTGTATTAAATGCAGTATCAACACCCTGGGAGACATCTTGCATACCTTCCTCACTGAGTTATCAAAATAAGGATCAGAATCAGATTTGCTGGACAAGTATGTTAAGCCAATGGTGTCCCAAGCTAGACATATAATATACAGACAACGAACATGTAATTCACTGACATTTATGCCTCTGTACCTGTAACCAGAAGGTGACCGTTTCAAATCCCATCCTTAGCGGACATATCATATCTCCAATGAATGAGGCCCTTAACTCCCTAAAATGCTCCAGGGGAGACAGATAAATGCCTGACCCTGTGCTCAGACCCCAATCTTTGCTCTCAAGTGTGTATTTGTGTGTGTGTCAGTACTTGTTAAAATGGCAAATAAAGAATCACTTCATTTTAAAGAAAAGACTTGGGTTCCTCACCTCCTCCATGGGGTCCAGGGGGATCCCCTTAAGCCGGTCCATGTACAGGCCGGTGTACAGCTGCGCGTCCTTTGCCCGCCGCAGGGCAAACTCCCAATTGCGGCGCCGCCTCCGCTCCCGTACGTCACTCAGGCTGGCGTCAACGGCGAACCGCCACCACTGCCGGGAGCTGCGCAGACACACGTGTCAGGCACGCCGAGAAGACCGCGCGCACCGGGCGGCCGGCGGGCAGAGAAAACCGCGCGCACTGGGCGGCCGGCGAGCCCAGGACCTACACTCACTTTCCAGAAACGGGGACCCGGGGCCTCCACCTCCGAAAGCGCATCTCCCTCTCGCGGCGGTCGAGCTCCTTCAGGAAGGCCATGACCTGCTGGTACTGCACCTGAACAGAAGAAGACGGACTTGGATGCAAACAAGCAGGGAGCACTCAACTCAACAAAGGCGAAGCTGAGCCAAAATAAGGACTTTGTCCAGCACTACATGATCTCCAGCAATCAAATGATCTATAATTAGCCAGCTGGCAAAACCAGGCATGTAGGTAGTGAAGCAGAACAAAAATATGGACTAAGCATCACAAGACTAGATCATTATATTCAGAACGACAGTAACAATACATTCACCCAATGAGCCATCCTGACTAACCAATCCACAGCCCTTCCTGAGTGCAGGGACCCTGAGCCAGAATCTGCCCTGGAAGTTAGTTCTACAGGCACTGTGACCTTTTGGTCCGCAGCAGCGCCCCCCACGGGTAATTACCTGCGAGAGGCGCAGGGACACGGGTTCCAACTGCACCTGGCCCTCAATGCGCGGGGTGTGGCGGGATCGCAGCGGCTCCTTGGAGGCATTCCTGCGCAGCAGCATGGAGGCGCATACTGGCTCAAAGACGTACTGGTGCTCTCTGCTGTGCATGCATCGCGTCATGGCCTCCTGGCGGGGCGGGGCGGGGTGGGGGGCCACAAAACCACTCTCAGGCACATCATCATCATCATCATCATCTTCTTAAGAACAACAAAACATTATTACTGATATTTTCTTTATTTGTCATATTCTATAATTTTCCATTTTTAATTTGTATACTGTGTATTTTCTTCATTTGTTTGCACTATTCAAATACTATTTGTATTTGACTTTTCCCCTGCAATCAAAAAAGTTCATCTGATCTAATCTCATACAACCAAGAACTACATGCAGACATGTATTAAACATGTTGAGGGTGTATGTTATGCTAGATAAGACCTTTGGCTATGCTACTGAAATCAACCAATGAGAAATGTTACTGCCGACTGCAACCAGAAGCAAATGTCTTACACGCCACCACCAATGAAAGTGCTTCTAGCAGAAAAAACATTAGAGGTGAAACACAAGCATAAAAAAGACTTTTTGATGAGGCAAAATTGTATTTTTTTTAAGAGATAAACACCACATTTTTCTTGGAATTAGGAAAATGCGGTTTGTTTTGTTTAATGTATTCTAGGGTATGAATAAAAAAAATGGAGCATTCTGTTTTTAGAGCATTCACTTTTAAACTAACTATTTTGAATATAGAGCAGCAGTAGCAATACTCCACCACACAGGCTGCATTAGAACTACGGCACTCCCATATTCTCATATAAATTACATAATGATGCGTTAAAAGCCATTATCCATCTTCTCCAACCCCTTATACATTGCAGGGTAGCGGTGATGACACAGCACACAACAGGTGACTGTCTCAATGGGACGTGAGACCATCACAGTGCACACACCCTAACCCTAAGGGCAATTCAGTCACCAAGTCACCTAACAGCATGTTGTGAGATTTTGGGGGGGGGTGGAATGAAAGCATTTAGTGGAATGTCATGTAGACACAGGAAGAGCGCGCGCACGCGCACGCACGCACACACGCACACAGTTGGAAACTCAAACCCACATCCCTGTAGGTGTCAGGCAACAGTGCTAACCGCTAAGCCCTGCGTTAAAATGAATTGTATAAAATGATAGTAGTCATGGAGTTTTACCTGGATCTCTGCTGCAGGAAGATTTCCCAGCATGCAGCACTCCGTGTCCCAGTACACACAGAAATCCCGGATCTCAAGCTGCTTCTGCCGTAGGAGCTTCTGTACCTATGGCAGGGGAAAGATGCCTTATTGGCTATTTGTATGTCTGTCAGTTTCAGGGCTCAGCGATGTGGACTAAAAACCACATCCCTGTATTTTTAGGCAGAATAGCTACACACAATAAACATCTCAGTATTTCCTAGTGGGCTAAATGTTCAGTCTGACAGTCAGAAGGACATGTGAGATGTCACAAACACTTGTTAAAACAAAGCGTGGTCAAAACCAAATGCACATAAAGGGTTTCCTTTCCTGTTTGCAAATACACATTCAACTTCAACTATTCAGTATTTAAAAAGTGATGAGACAAAAATAAGGTCAATTAAAGCAGCTATGAAATGAAAGTATTGCATAATTTCCACCAACAGATGGTTTTCTTTATTTATGATATTGCTTTGAAAAAAAGGTGAATATTTAGAAGAAGAAAAAAATCTACAGTATATCTAAAACCTATTTGGCAAATGGGTTTGAAACCAGACTGACAACCATTGAAAGTGCTTTTCAAAACTAGAAAAGATCCTCATTTTAAGGTACTAGCCTTTAATAAAATACAACTAATATTACAAATTACAATATTTTTATCCACTGAGCTTTATTAAAAATCTTTTCTCACACTATTCCCTCATTTGGGAATCAAAATACTGCATATGTTAATACCATCAAAGAAATAGTGCGTTATGACTTTATATTTCCAGCTAATGCTCACAGCTCTATCAAATATCATGTGTATAACACACACAATAAAAGTATACTAATATAAACGGTATTGTCTCATCCTCAATCTCACATGAAAATATACAGATAGACCATGAAAAGGCGACGTATCAGCCAGGCCGAGATGATATGTACTGCATTAGAGCACAGCTCACCGGCTCCTTAGAGGCGTTTTGCGCAGACACATTCTTTATGCAGACGCCGAAGGCATACGGTTTAGACGGGTTGGAAAAATCATCCTCAAACCGCAAGTGAACATCTTGAATCTTCAGCTAAAAAGAAACACAACCAGACACCAGTTTCGATTTAACTGTGCCCCGACATACATTAAGGCGGCGATAAATAAAATGGCGGAGAGCATTTCTCTCCTTGTCTCTATTCTGGAATAATGTTCAGAATTCTGTCAGAGGGAAGAACAATCAAAACTAGTCAATACAACCCCAAAATAATGGTCAGTACAATGGATCCCCTTAAATGGGTGGAGACCCCCCCTCAATACTCAACCCAAAGTTATGCCCGTGCATATAAACCCTCGGCAATGAGACGAGCCGATAGAGAAGTCAGTCAAATGTGCAAAATACATAAATAACTAAGCTTTAGTGCCGAGTTAAATTAATCTGGAAGGCAGAGAGCAGTCCACATGACTCTGAGCGGAATAGGAAAGTCGATGGAGTGGGAAGTGAGCCATAAAGAACATCCAAAGCTCACCTCGATGTTCTCCACTATCCTGGTGACCAATGACGCGGTCACAGAGTACCAATAGGATTCGCCCTTTTGCTCCCGCTCATTCTGCAAAGCACAGTAACAAACAAAAACTCAACACCTGCTGCCCAAAGTTAAGCTCATTCGCACGCAATAAAAAAAAAAAAAAATCACATTAACATTATTTAGCAGACAGTTTTAACACAGCACACTTTTTTTGTGAGAACACAGAGTCAGACTGTCCCTGGAGAAATTGGGGGTTAAGAACCTTGTTCAAAGGCCCAACAGTGACATCACTCTGCTGTCCCTGGGCTTCGAACCTGTGATTCCTGATCCCTGGCAGAGATTAGCCCGCTGAGACACACACCATTCATTGCGATAATATTTCACAGAAAACAATAGATGCTAGAAAACCATTTAACTATAGTATGACAATATAATAATATATATGTACATATACACACACATATATAAGCATATTTTATATACACATATATATATATATATATATATATGTTTAAAAATACATATTTATTCTCACATATATACAATTAACAGCAATAAAGCAGCTAAGGAATAATAAAAAAACTATGTAATAAATAGAAAAAGATCATATGTAACAATGGTTTCAGCACTTTGCATTTCCCAGTCAGCACCCGCCATGTGACGCATCTACATCGTTTGCCACTTTCACCCAGTGGCAGGACTGGTAGCCAGCGCGACCTCCTTTCTCCGCAGCGCTAAGGCCCTGCGTTTCATTCACTTCCCACACTCACTCAGTTACACTGTGGATGCAGCACAGCTCAGATCTGCCCCCTCCTGTATAAATGTCAGGGTGCTTTTCAAGGGCACGGCAAATGAGAAGTTTCAGAACCATTTGCCAGAGTCATATTCTTCATCTAGTCATCTGTCGTGTAACATTTCCTTTCTCCTCTTGTCACATTTACGGAGTATCTCAGCATTTCCTTTAACCACAAGTCATTCTAAATAATCCATCAATTTAAATAAATAATCCATCCATCCATCCATCCATCCATCCATGGGGTCATGGGGGTAGCAGTCTAAGCAGACATGCCCCAACCTCCTACTCCCTAACCATCTTCCACCAAGGTGTTCCCAGCCAACTGAGAGATATAATCTCTCCAGCGTGTCCTGGGCCTGAAACATGTACATGTTCACGTTCCTGGGGGCCCTCTAACCAGCGAGGGCAGCTGTGGGGGTCAGAAGCTGTGTGAATCGGGCACCGATCAAAGGCACGGGCCTTGTGCACCGATCCTCAGTTACTGAAGCTAGCATTCGGAATTATATGCACTGTGATTTCGGGGGCGCGGGTAAAAAACAAAGAAACGAACACTTAGCAAACTGCTAAGACTCAAGACAGCTCACCTTCCACTTGTCCTCCAGTGCCTGCAGCAGCTGCTTCTTGCGCTCCTGCTCAGAATCCCTCTCTTGCTGCTCATCAAAGTCCTGAAGGTTGGCCGGCCCGATGATCAAGTTAAGCTGGGACATGGAGACGACCCAGGGGTCGCTGTGCGGCCGGTAGACTGGGATCTGGAGAGTTATCTTCCCAATGAAGCCTGCAACATGACAATGAGGTTACACAAAGCCCTGTTAAGATTTGCTCAGATAAGCAAAGAATAACATAGCCCTTTAGCATTAGATAAGATGGCTCATTGTTTTGATAGCAGTGACAGTCTAATCTTTAGGAAGAGTTTGGTAACATTAAAATGCAATGCTAAACTTGTCGGTAAGGATCAAAGCAATGATCTGCAGCAATGATCTGCAGCAATGCTCGACTGCAAAATGCGTCTCCCATAACAGACCTCACTGCTCCACATTCATGTTTGTCAACATTCTTTCAATGCATAAAAACCCATGCAAACAAACTACTAATCGGCTCTTACTCACCAGCTTTGACCTCAAACGGGAGATCAATTTCTCGAAGCGCATCCTTTCTCAAAGGGAGGTTTTCTAGCTCGACTGCCCCTAAAGTACGGCAGCGTTAAGGGTCAAACTCAGCACATAGCACACGGACACACTGCCGTTGTAATCTCAGCACATGCAAATTTTCATTGTACCTTTCAGCAGGGCAATGGAGAGCTGGTCAGTGTTAAGGTTGCTGACATATTTGCCCAGGTAGGTGTTGAGTACCCAGGCAACAAGTCCTTCCAGCATGGTGAAGGATTACAATGTGGGAATAGGGGGATGTGGGTGGAGGCCACAGGGTTTACTTTGGGTACCGATAGGGCATGTACTGAGGTGCATCAGCAATTACCCTCCAAATCCTAACCCCAAGACCTGGTAAGGAGAGAATGCAATACAGTCAGGTGACCTACATCTAGTGCTATGGAATTAAGTACCCGGACTCCCCAAACATCGAAAAGGTTAAACCTTAGCATTAATATAGAGTATGAGATCTCAAAAAGAAAGTTGTGACGCTCCTCATAGGGACGTTAAAAAAATACAGATTTACTTAAGAATTCAAACACCAATTTTAACATTGTATTACGTACTTTCTTGTCCCACATTGCAATGTTTTTGTGGCAGCCCATCTGTTGCACATCCGAGTGGATGAAAATTCAGATATAAACTAACAGCTTAGACGAAGAGAAACGGCTAACTAATTAGACAAACTGGCTGGTTACCAAGATCATAAGCTTACAAACTGGCAGGCATTTGTTAAAGAGATCCTGTAACACATAAAAATTCAGGCAATTTCCCGAAATAGGAAAATGCTTGTCAGCGTGAGCGGCTGGCTAATTAAATTACTGCTAGCCTTGCAGTGAAACAGAGCTAGCTCTGCCCTAAATCCAGGGACAGCCAGCGATACGGGTCTCGGAGGTGACTCGCCTACTTGGGTTTCACTAACGAGAAACTGTCAACTTACCATTGTTTGTGGCGAGCTTAGGTGCCGACGTCCTTTACGTCAAACATCTGGGTGTTTGGATAAAATGCATCGTCACAGCATTCATGTAAAACTTCTTCATGTTATGTGGCTGTAGCGCAAACACGCATCCTTCAATACAGAGACTACCAGGCAAAATCAAACAGCAGGATAACAGGCTATTTACTGTACACAGAGATCGAAGTCGTTATCAAGTCTGTTGTGCTTTTCGATAACGACTATTTCTACACACCTATAGAAATGTCACTGCAGAGAGACACGAAAACTGAAACTGTTTTGTAGCACAAGGTTGGTCCAATATTTTATACAAGAATTAATTCAAATTGGCTGTTAATTAATACAGACATATTCAGGTTTCAACGGTTGAGTCATTACGGTTGCGACACTGCAGCAACAAGTTCAAACGAACTGTTTGTTTTTCTCCCTTGTGCTTTTTGCTCTCCTACCCTTAGATGTCAGCATCACGGACATACAAAAAACAATATTGAGTACATATAGCAAGCTCTTCCGGTCATGTGACTACAAACGTCATTTTTCTAGATTTTCAAATTATGCTGAGGACACCTAGCGGATGGATGTTATATAAACCTAGATCAAGAAAAACTTGGGATCTCGGTGGATGTGGACTGGTCAGCCACCCCAGGAAACAGCTTAGACAGAATGCCAGTCCATTTCTTGGCACACTCTCACTAAAGACAATTTAAATACCCATAACAACATGTTTTTGAACTACGGATGAAAACTGATGAAATTCAAGCCCACAACCCCTGAGATGCAACCCACTGGGCCACTGTGATATTGTCAAGGTTGCCAGCTGTCACACATCTGACCTGACACTCATGCTTTCAGACTCTCACGCTCATGCAAGAAATCTTATGGTAAATTTATATTGTTTCAATATAAACCTAATAATAACTACATTAAAGGCATTTAGATAGGTTACAAACCCTGCAGACCATTTACAAGGTAATAAAACTGTTACAAACATGTTAATGCGCGTGCAGAATTCAAGATCTCATTCCAGCCAGCTCACTAAAGCTACCAATCCTGTACTGGCATCCCTATCCATGCCGACCAGTATGCACCCAAGCCTTATGTGCTACTCTGCCTCGAATAGGCTTCAGGATCTATGGCAGGATAAGCGATTTGAAGATGTGCAGATTTCCCTTTCTGAAACTGTAGTTCAAACCACTGAATCGAAAGTATATGGCACATAGGTACACAAGATTCACATGTCCGCAAATAAAGTGATACTTTATAGTACAGATCTACAAGTTTAAACCTCGGATAGAATTGAATCTACAGTTTCTACAATTAATAAATAAATTAAGGATCCTACCCAATTTGTCTATTACAGAGTTATGATGAATTTGCAGTTCTAAGAATGAATCAATTGCTACGGGCAATTTAGAAGCACAGTTAGCCGATCCCCTGTTTGGACTGCAGAGGGCGATACAAGGGAGAAAATTAAACTATACCATAAGGTTTAGGAGTGTGTTTATAGTGGGGATGGAATTCAAACCCCTCATACCCCCGGAAATCCGAGGTAAGAGCCACCCACGGTGGGTAGGTACCCACCGTTCTGCTCGCACTCGCAGGAATGTGTTTGCCAAAAGTTGAAAGGCAATTAAAAATAACGTCTCTGTAAATGTACCTGTTTTGGTTACTCCATGAAACCAGAATAATGGACTTTAATTCTGTAATTAAAAGACATGGTTTTGACGTTTTCTAATATCTGGACAGAGCAACAAAATTTTTTTAAAATATGTAGGCCTATTTACGTTAACTCTCTCTAACTTCCCTCTATCTCTCTTAAAGCAGAAATTTAGGAGATTTCATCTAGCGAGCAGACTGAAAATAAAAGCTTACTTGCAGTTCACCGATCGGTCGCCAGGCGAGACTGTTTACCAGGTAGACATGCTTGGGTGGAACTAAAAGTGATAACTGGATAACTGTCACTTTTAATGGCAATAAATGACACGTGGAAAGAGTGGGAGGCATAGGAGAAGGCACAGAAACAAAGTATTTCTGCTCACTCTTCCTTACCATTGGGCCATGTCATGTATTTCTGACATGTGTCGCGGTAGCTAAATGTTTTTTTTATCTTGCTATTCCACCTACACCAAGGGTCTTCAGCTATAATTTAACAAAATGCATACTAATTGTCTCACATGTTCTACAAATATGCGTGAAATGCCTTTCTTTATGTAGTCTAATTATTTAATGTGTCATACCGTATCATCCAGTCCTAAGATCTTACTTATCTATAAAACCATGCTTCAGTGATAAGGGTTTCCTATCTCGTCTATTTACATTTAACGATCACAAGGTTGAAATCCCTTAACATACAGAAACCCGCGTTTATGGCGAGTTTCGACGTAATACGGGCATTAATCGTAAACTGATGGGCGGGTGGGCACCAGCGGACAGCAAAGAAATACGGCGGTGTTCGCCGCGATCGCAGCCGAGTGAGTCAGCAGAGCTGTCAGCATGCCACAAAACGCACTCGCAAATGGGGCCAGTTATAAGGAGCGGCAGCCCCGCTTCCTCCCCCGCCTCACCGCGAAGCCCACGCGTATGTTTAGGCGCGACAGCCAATCAGGTTATCGGGAGGACACGAGCAGGGTTTCCCGGCCTTGGCTCTGGGATGTCCCCGTCCCCACGGAGCTGTTATTGTTCTAGTGAAGATATTCATGAATTACGGGTGATTTAGCGGTTAATTTAATTCCAGCCTTCATTTGACATCCTCTGAAATGATTCATTCTCTGGATGCACATCAGTTGGACTATATATATATATATATATATATATATATATACGCACACACAAACTATATTTCCAAAAGTATCGGGACACCTGCCTTTACACACACATGAACTTTAATGACATCCCATTCTTAATGCATAAGCTTTAATATGGAGTTGGCCCATCCTTTGCAGCTATAACAGCTTCAACTCTTCTGGGAAGGCTGTCCACAAGGTTTAGCAGTGTGTTTATGGGAATTTTTGACCATTCTTCTAGGAGAGCATTTGTGAGGTCAGGCATTGATGTTGGATGAGAAGGCCTGGCTCGCAGTCTCTGCTGTAATTCATCCCAAAGGTGTTCTGTCGGTTTGAGGTCAGGGCTCTGTACAGTCAAGTTCCTCCACACCAGACTCGCTCATTCATGTCCTTATGGACCTTGCTTTGTGCACTGGTGCACAGTCATGTTGGAACAGGAAGGGGCCATCCCCAAACTGTTCCCACAAAGTTGGGAGCATGAACATGTCCAAAATGGCTTTGAATGCTGCAGCATTAAGAATTCCTTTCACTGGAACTAAGGGGCCAAGCCCAACCCCTGAAGAACAACCTCACACCATAATCCCCCCTCCACCAAACTTTACACTTGGCCCAATGCAGTCAGGACAGCACCGTTCTCCTCACAACAATTGGTTACCCAGACTCATCCATCAGATTGCCAGACATCCCACCTCCTCCACTGCTCTAGAGTCCAGTGGTGGTGTGCTTTACTGTACATCACTGCATCCAACGCTTTGCATTGCATTTGGTGATGTAAGGCTTGGATGCAGCTGTTTGGCCATGGAAACCCATTTCATGAAGTTCTCTGCGCACTGTTCTTCAGCTAATCTGAAGGCCACACAAAGTATGGAAGTCTGTAGCTGTTGACTCTGCACAGAGTTGGTGACTTCTGCACTCTGTGCGCCTCAGCATGCGTTGTCCCCTCTCTGTGATTTTACGTGGAGTACCAAATGTTTGTAGAAGCAGTCTGCATGCCTAGGTGCTTGGTTTTACACACCTGTGGCTATGGGAGTGATGGGAACACCTGAATTCAATGATTCGGAGGGGTGGCCCAATATTTTTGGCACTATAGTGTGTGCGGTATATATGGAGTGTGTGTTTGTGTGTTTGCGTGTGTGTGTATATATATGTATATACAGCCTATATGTGTGTGTGTGTGTAACAATGTTGACATTTGTCCTTTACATGGGATAATTCATAATAAAAAATATTAATAATTCATCGATTCTGCGTTAACAATGAAATAACTGATGCAATACTGTAAATGTGATTAGTTGAATAAACCACATCGTGACAAATTACTTTTAATTTTGCCCCTAAATACCATGACAATGGATTTGAAGTGAAACACTCAGTATGAGCTTAAAGTGAAGATTGTCTGCTTTAACTTAAAGCTACAGACACTGTATTGTGTGAACTATGCAGGAATTATAACCATGGTTATACATAGACACCCCCACTTCCACCATTTTAAGGGACCAAAAGTATTTGGAGAAATTAATATTATCTTGAAGAAAACTGTCATACTTAATACTTGGTTGCAAATCTTTTGCAGTCAATGGTTGCCTGAAACAGGTGCCGAGTTTCCTCACTGGTGATTTCCTGTCAGGTCTGTTCTGCAGCTTTCTTCAGTTCCCGCTTATTTTGGGGACTTTTGGTCTTTAAATTTCTCTTTGTGGCCTTGAGGAACTCTGGTTGCTTTAGCAGTATGCTGTCAGTCCTCGTCTTACTGCAGTTTAAAGCTCCGTCCAATGAGTTTGACGCATTCTGTTGAATCTGAACAGATATCTCTGTACGCCTAACAATTCACCCCACTGCTGCCAGCCCTCACTTTAACCACATATTGGGTCTTTCACATCAAATCCATTATGATGGTATATAGAGCCAAAACAGTACAAAAATTATCACTGTCCCAATAAATGACTGCATATTCAGTTCCTGCCCCCAGGTCTATGTTGATTGGTGGTAGGTGAGTCACTTTAGCACTGTCTCATCCCACCTTCAGAGTAATGGGTTCAGTTCCTGCCCCCAGGTCTATGTTGATTGGTGGAAGGTGAGTCACTTTATCACTTTCCCATCCCATCTCCAGAATAATTGGTTCAGTTCCTGCCCCCAGGTCGATGTTGATTGGTGGTAGGTGAGTCACTTTAGCACTGTCCCATCCCACCTCCAGAGTAATGGGTTCAGTTCCTGCCCCCAGGTCGATGTTGATTGGTGGTAGGTGAGTCACTTTAGCACTGTCCCATCCCACCTCCAGAGTAATTGGTTCAGTTCCTGCCCCCAGGTCTATGTTGATTGGTGGTAGGTGAGTCACTTTAGCACTGTCCCATCCCACCTCCAGAGTNACCTCCAGAGTAATTGGTTCAGTTCCTGCCCCCAGGTCTATGTTGATTGGTGGTAGGTGAGTCACTTTAGCACTGTCCCATCCCACCTCCAGAGTGATGGGTTCAGCTCCTGCCCCCAGCTCTATGTTGATTGGACTTTGCATGCTGTCCCTGTGTTTGCATGAGTTTCCTCTGAGCTCCAGATTCCTCCCACAGTCTGTAAACATGATGCTGAGTCTGCAGAAATGCTCTGTATTGTTCTACATTCATATCAAAATTCCTTTTCTGACACTGGTCCCCAAGACGTCAATTCAAAACTGAATCTCACACAATCCTCACACAATTTCGTGAACATACTCAGAACGGTGAA